ATTTTTCATTGTAAGAGGGACAATTGCTTTGGTGGGCCAAGGGTAGAATGTTATCAATTAGATAGGAGATGTTCCCTAAAAGTATCTGTCAGTGCAGGAATATTCAGAAGCAAATGATTGGATTATGAGAGCTGTGAACTAATCAGTCCACCCCAGTTTGAACGGACTGACTGGTGGTAACCTTAGGCAGGTGAGGCATTGCTAGAGGAGATGGGTCACTGGGTGTGTGCTCTGGAAGGGTTGTTCTTCCTTTTCCTCTCTTTCTCTCCTTCCTTGCTGCCATGGGGGGAGAGCAGATTGCCTGCACTGGGCCCTTCTTCCACCATGTGCTGCCTCACCTTAGGCCCAGAGCAATGGAGTTGGCCATCAATAGACTAAGACCTCTGAAACCATGAGTCCCAAATAAACTTTCTCTCCTCTAGGTTCATCTTGTCTGATATTTTGGTCACAAACACAAAAGCTGACTAAAACGCTGTGTCATGATTTTGTAGATGGCTTGGAGAAGCAGTAAAATCCTGAATCAGAGGTAAAAGACTTTTATTACTTAGGGGAAAAGCAGTAGCTAGAGTGTCATAATTTGTGTTCATTCTCTGAATCCTGTTCCTACAGGGGTGACCATTTGGTTCTAGAAAACACCAGCATGAACAGCTGACTACGTTACAAAAACACTGAACATGGCAATAATTCTTTTGCAGCAACTAGTGGCCAGCCTGCAATTTGTCCCTCATCTGTGAAGGGTGATCATTTTAAATGCAACTGTGAGAAATAGTCCCAATAAAGAGCCATCAAGAGCCTGGCATTTGGGGCATATCCCCAAGAATGTGCAGGAATGCAAAAAGTCTGTGGAGAACTGGTAAATCCTAACCTTAATTAGCACGTGTCTCTTTTCATTAACCCATCTCGTAAAGATACAGGCAAGATTTGCAAGTATGAGAGCAAACGGTGTAAACCAACAACCATGTTTTGCCAAAAATAAGCCTTGCGTATCCTTTCAAAAATAAGACAAAGGCAATCAATACTTCTTTTACATCTTTGTAGAGTCCTGTGATTTTTTTTTTTTAGTTAATGGCTAATTTTAAAATCATCACTGCAGTAAATTTTAAAATTAAAAAAACTTATTTTCCAGATCTTCAAAAATACATCATTGAGTTTAGAAATCAGCAGTCAAACAAGATCTAAAATGATAACTATTATGTGGAAGAAACACTCAATAGTAAACATGAGTATTAGGGCCTGGCAAGGATTACAGTTGTCAATATTTAATTATAAGTCTTTTTCTAAATCTTTAAGTGAAAGCTCTAATTAGGAAAATGCTAATGCACAGAGACAGCCTTGCCTAGCAAGTGCCATATCTAATTGCTTCTCCATTTTTTTCCCAAGTAAGACAATGCTTCTCATTATGTGTTTTACTAGAATGAATAAAATATTTGATTTGGCATTAAATATACACAAAATAATTAATAACAAGCATGATTACATAATGAATTAAAGTGAATTGACAAAATGAATGTTTTATTCTTAAAATGTCATTTTTAAAATGACTTTTTAATAGGCATTTGTTTCCTTATTAGTACTAACAGGAACATTATTTTGAGGAAGATATTTTTAGATTACTTAATAACATGATTTTTTTATTTTTCAAATTTTTTCAATTGGAAAGAGTATAATTCCTTAGAGTCAGTTTTTTTTCTTTTTCAGGAAAAATATTGCACATTAGTTTAGAAGCAGATTTTAATCCTAGTTATTATCTTAGATAATCCATTAAAAACCCTTGATATCACATATCTGTAAATAATATAGTCTGACTGTCTGGAATTAAATCTTATGTTTTTCATTAGTAACTATGTAGAATCAGACAATTTATTATCTTTTCTGAGCCTCAGCTTCTTCACCTGTAAAATGGAAAATAAAGTTCCTATCTTGTGCATATGTTTTGGAAATTTGTTATAATGTCTATAAAACATGTGTGCAGTGTTTGGTACTTTATTAGAAAATAAAATATGTATTTCAAATGCTTATAAAATATTATTTATTTGAATAATGTTCATATCAGTCAGTTAACAGGTTTACAAAAATGTTAACACTAATACATAAATAAAGTTCTAACTGAAGTAGAGCTTTTCTTGAGAACATACCACTTGCTTCTCTAAAATATTTCTTCATATATTTAAATTAAAATTTACTAGGATTTATTTTACATTCATTAATCTAGCAATGAAATTCTGTGTTTGTTTGCAGTGAGAGATTTTTATTCAGTATAGACTCTTACTTCACCTAGATTATGAAGAGTCCTGCAGATACATGGATAATTTCTAAGACTTTGCACTATCTGATATTAGGAATTTAAATGAAATTAAATATTTCATCTTAAAAAATCATTTTTTAAACATTTTATGACTAGTGACATTCTCTGAAATATAATCATTCATATTAAAATCCTGATGGAAGTCATAAGTATCCAAGGTAGAGTCTGTCCTCATTTTCATTCTTGACACTACATAAAGCTACATTATTTGAATATAATTTCAAAATTTATGGTTATGTAAGAAGACAACTATTCTAAGAAGAATGTACATATGAAAAGAACATTTTATTTAGTTCAACTTAGCTGCAATAATCAATTTACTAAACAAAAATAGTTTTTATGAGTATTTTTTTTATCATTTGCAAAGATCATCAACTTTTCTTCCAAGTTCAGAGATATTTAATCATTGGAAAGCCTTTATATACTTTCTGTGCTTCATAAAAGATGGCATTTTCATTGTTCATTTAATGAATAGTGTTTATTCTTTTACTTCCTGAATAGTACATACTATTTAATGAATCATGTGCTATTATATACGTGATCTATAATACTATTTGTAAGATCATAAAATGTTCAGGTAACGAATAAAAGCTATTGCCTATGGATTGTAAAATTATGCATACTCACAAATGTATATGTGGTTTGGCTGTTGTTAAATGAAGCAAATATTTGCACTGCACCCAGGAGGGAATTCAGTGTTCTCTGTATGTGAAGGATATGTAGTAAACCATTCATGAATCAGGAAAACAGATATATTTTTTCCCTAGTGTTTTCATTTGCCTTTTGAAATGTTTGCTTCAGAAAATAGAGACAGCAGCAGGCTGTCTCCAGGGGCTCCCAGGAATATCACAGAAGTAAGGGATAGAGGTCACTAATATGAAGGGCCTTCATGGGTGTGTGCAGGAAACCTGGGCCAAAAAGAAGAAGGACCAGAAGAGATTATAATCATTTCAGTAACTCCAGAAAGGACAGGCCATCAGAGAACAAGTGGGTTTCTTCACTCTCACTGAATGTTATAGATACACATAACCATCAGAAGGAGGCTCAAACCTATGTTAACTGAGTTTAATTCCTGCTACTTTGGCAGAATCTAATCTTCAAATAGAAATTAAACTAGGGGAAAATCTCCTCATGTGGCATGAGATCACTGACCTCACTGTAACATGATTCTTCCCCATAGAATTCAAAGGGATTAATAAATTGCAACCATCTATTAGCTTTAAGCATGGAATTCTTCTCAATAATGGACTATAGATTGACAACCACAGAAGAGAGCTTGCCATACGTATAAATTTCCTTGTCAAAGGTCCTCTGTCTATAGGTTATGCTTTCTGAGAAAAACTGTCACTGAGACTGATAATGAATCAAGGCAATTGTGACAGGACATGACACAGACACTGCTGCTGACTTACCATGTCAACTCTGATAAAAGCAATCGTAAGTATCAGTAAGTCCCTCCTTCCTAACAGTGGATCCTTGTCCACAGGCCGTTTTCCCACAGCCCTAGTTCTCAAAGCCATTGTGAACTGAGCATCAACTCTGCATCATTTGAACAACTTAGAAAAATCTCATCTTTCACCAAAGAGACTATTTTAATGATATCTAGCCCTACATTATAAGGAGAATGAAATATAATAATCATGTGGGGTTTTTAAATTCTCACATACTGAAATCTCTTGATCAATTGGATCAAAAAGTATCTAGGAAAATCTACTCAATGCTTTTCAAATCATCTGCAATGTCCAACCATTTTTAAAATTTCCAATTCATTCTGGCCATCAGAGAAACATAAGAAAAATAAGTTAATAGTAAATAAATTTACTATTAATAAATAAATAATTAATGAATAAGATTTTAAAAGATGCAAAAATACGAAAACTAACATTTAATTATTAGAGTCGAATAGACATAAAGTACTCTGTAGAAGTTTCTAAATGCTTATCCTTACTTGCTGTCCTTTTCATGGAAAGGGAGACGGTAACAACAGGTAATTGTTCACAGGTAACTTAATGGAGCCCACCTGGAGAAAAACTGGTCTAGCGAGAGGGGATACATCTCTTATTTGAAAAGGTCTTAAAATATTTATCGACAAAAATAGGGAACACTAAGTACCTTGCACAGTATATAATGTAATTTGTTAAATAATTTATACTTGCTGTGTGCATTCACTACCCACAGAGGGAGAGCTATGGATATTTGCAGTCCTCACCTTTCTCTAAGATCCATCATGCTTGTCCATTTCTGTCCTAAGATGTTTTCTATGTCTATCTTAGATGTTTTCCTAAGACTTCAACTCAAGAATACACCAGAGTGAATTCCTCATCTACCTGCCAAACCCACTTCTGGGATTCTCACCTTGATGACAGTTTCCTCCCAGACACACAAAAGCTCTTTGCCTTGCTTTCTTCATCCTTCCCAACGTGTTGCTAAGGTACGATACTTGTCATCCTAATATCTTTCTTTTGATTACTTCATCCCCAAGCACCTCTATGTCTCACTCCCACCTCTCACACAGTTTATTGAGAGAGACTCTAGTATCTCCCTATGCATGAACTTAATCCTTTCAAAGCTCAGACTTGCTGAGGCCACTTCCTGCCTAAACATAAGCAGTAGCTTGCTATTCCAGTGTCAACTAAACAGAGCCTGGTATCCAAGCCTCCCGTGGCTTTCTAAAAGCTAGTTCCTAACAAATTATACTCTTCACATGCCATGTAGTTTTATACCTCCATGCTTTTTTTCACAGTTCTAGTCTCCTAGAATGTCCTCCCAAACCCCAAATATAGGTTCCCCAGTGCTACCCATTCTTTAGAACTCCAGTCTCTGACACCTTTCCTTTTCCTATAGCTCAATCTATGAGCATCTTCTCTCCTAGCTGTGTGTTCTGAAACCTCTCCTGGTTCACTCATCAACTTTTTCCTACCCTTTGATGGTAAGATGCATTTCCAATTTTTCTGTGGTTACTAAAAAAGTAAAGCTCTGTATGAATATTAGATGGATGAGATAACTGTTAAATACAAGTTGACCATTAGTATTTGAAAAATAACACATTAACAACTGCAGATCATAGTATAAACTGTACTTTGTACAAAGTGGGTGATAAATAAAAATATATTTATAACAATGAACATTATAAAATAATAACAATAAATTTTTAGTGAGTGCTTATGTGCTAGCCACCACAGAGAATACTATATATATTATCTCTTTTAGTCTTTACAATATCTATGTGAATAGGTACTGTTAATTTCCATTTTACAGACGAGAAAGTGAAATTTAAAGAGGTTAAGTAAGGTGCTTAATGTGAATACTTAATTAGGAGTCTAAGAAAAATAATAAAGTGGAATTTAAATCAACTTCAATATGACTTCAATCCATGCTCTAAAAATTAGATTAATTTAAAAGAATCGTTACTATTATACAAGTCTAAATGGTTCTCATTGCATATCATAATTATTGTTTTTATGAACTTGGGACATCAAATGCTATACATGTTAATTTTTATATTAGAAAAAACTAAAAACCTGTTTTTGAAATACATAGCAGAGCAAAATTGTGTTCTTGGGTTTAAGCAAATGCTAGACGTGGAAGACCATATCAAGTTCATTACTATTTTTAATGAAAGTGGTCATGTGACTATTATAGAAAATAATAGACACATGACAACCATACACTGAGCTCAACATTTATGTCTGTGGACATGCAAAGTCCCAGCAGAAAGCATCACTATCTCTGGGAAAACTCCAAGACAGCAAAACAAAACAACCCAAGACAATAATTATTCTAAAAAAAGAATACTTAAATTGCTTTTAGATGTTTGAGACTAGGAATTTATGAAAGTGGATTATATGAGGAAGAAAATGTTGTGGGCTATATTGCTATAAGCATCATAAGACAAAGTGATTATAGTGTAATAAAGGACATGAGATGTAAATGTAAATCACAGATTACAGGAAGAATGAACAACTGATATACAAAGAATCAGCCATGTGTAACTTATGATGCTACTGATTATTCTGTATTGTTCCTAAAAATTAAAAGTTTGATCCCCATGTAGTAAATACATTTTCCTCTTGGTATTACACAGCACAGAAATCAGTCGTAACATGTTAATGAAATTAACCTTTATCTTTTACAAGACTTGCAGAGAAAAAAAGAAAAATTATCATGTAATGTAATTTGTTCTCCAAAATTATTGAACTAAAAGATGTCATTTATTACATTCACATGATAATATAAGAAAAACATTTTATATCTCATTCTTCTTTTTACCGGAAATATTTTATATAATCAAATGTGTTCAAAGTTAATTTTGGTACCAAAAAGCAGATAGTCATCGTAAATAAGTTTTTTTGAAAAAAAAATACTTCTCCATGTGTTAGGCAATTAATATATTATTTCAATTAGTGCTTTTATTAATAATAATATATTACTTCAATTGAATACTTTGCAGCAAGTATTATTGTCACTTTCATTTTATCAAGGAAGGAAAACTACAGCTTGGAATGAATAACTGGTCCAGAATTACTAGATAGTAAATGATTTGAGATTGGAATCCAATTTGACCGATTTCTAGGTTTGTAGGCTTCACTCAGATATTAGCCTGCTTCAGTGATGGATGGATTGAGGTATGAGTCACTCTGGTGATTTTATTGCCAGCTAATTTGATAAACCTTTCTTACAGCTACTGCAATATTTCCACGCTAACATGACTTCAACAATAGACCACAAATCATTCAGAAATTAGTACAACTAATGACAATGACTTACAAAAGACAGAAATACTTTGTCACTACATGAAGTTTACAACCTACCAACATTCATATATGTTCATTATTGATCTGCCCACCTCCTTTCCTACTGCCCACCTGCTTCCATACCTCAATCCACCTACTTTCCTATCAACTGCTAGGATTCTTTTATTTGCAAAAGAAATGAATAAGAGCTTTACAAGGTGGCAATTGTGTGGTTCAAACCAGAAGTACAAAACTGAAGCCTGAAGAGGGATGAGGAACACTGAAAAGCAGGGTAAATGCAGAATAATGTATAAATGAAATGTATCTGGAGGCAAAAAAGGTCAGGATAGAAAGAAGTGGATAACCTATCTAGGGGTGCAAGACATTGGGTAAAGAAAGAGAACTCAGTATTCTCTCCCCTGGTTCATATGTAGCAGCAGCCAGTATGTCTGTGAAGGAACAAGGTAAGCATCTGTTCCACAGATCATTCATTTGTTGAATTTCTGTCAAAGTTCAAAGCCCAAGCTGCTAATCAACATCATGGTGGTTGGGCTGAGGGTGGGGGCTCTGAAGTGCAAGAGAGTTTGTTTATGTTTGTACTTTTGCTATGTTTAGTTGTAACAAAGGTCAAGTATAGGTCAGATCAAAAGTAAATTGCACAGGTTATCAGATATATATACACATATGAACTGTGAATTAGGATTTTCTTTAATAACTGAGTGCCATCATTTTAAAATTAGATCTATATTCCTGGTGGATATGTTCCATTGCTTTTATATGTATTCACATCCTCTCTGGTCAAGCTATCTTTTTTTCCTTCTTACTTCTACATTAACCATCTTTCTTTTTTCATGTCTTCAGGGTTTTGAACATCAAATACTGAATTTAATATTAACTAAGCAGGCTAACAGCAGCACTTATCTGCTAATTGACATATGAGCTGGCATGGAGAGAATTTATATTTGTTGTCTTATGATGTTTACTTATTCATTGTTACAAAAAACAAAAAAACACCAAACAAATCCAAGATGGAAAAATAGTCTTTCAAATTTAAAAGGTCTGTAATAAGGAACAATTGCCTCAATACTTTTATCCTTTCCTTCTGTCCCTTTCTGCATTTTAGTGATTAAGAAAAAAAAATGCAGTGTGGGATAGAGATGTAGCTCAGTGGTAGAGCCCTTGCCTACCATGCATGAGACATACATATAAATATATGGAGCAGCTATGTATTTAAAAAGAAAACTGTATGTGTGTGCATGTGGGAGTTTTGTCTGCTCTTCTGCCTCTGTCCATGCCTTCATGCCTTCATCTGCTATTACAGACAATACTATGTGAAAACATGCTTCATCAGGAAGAGTCTTGAAATACATGTGCATGTTTCTCAAGGCAATTATCCAAAATTCAATTTATTAACTTTTAGTGAAAGTGGATGTGTTTGTTTATACAGAATTGTCTTTCTGTAAATAATGCCAAATACAGTGCTGTTCAAAATATATCTATTATAAAGTATTGGACAATATAAATGTGGGCTAATATGTTCAAGAATTGAAACCATTTCCACTTCTTTTGCTAAGCAGGCTGCATATTCCTGGGCCTATTTGTTAAAAGCACTGAGACCAGAATATAAGGTCAGTGTGTAGATCTGTTTACTCATGAATCATTAATTGCATAAATGTTAAGGACCAGCTGCTGATAACAAAGGTCTAATTCCTTAAGCATAGTACCCTAGCCATTTCCAAGTGCAATTAATTTTCCTCAGGGAAAACAGAAGTTGATAAACACATCTCATAATACAATATTTTAAAAGAAAGGAGATAACTTCATAATATTTAGCTGCTTGTTTTAGCTTTGTAATGAATGTCATGTTGTTTTGTAAAATTGTAATTATTTAAATTGTGAAATAAATAAGAGTCAGTCTTAAAACAAAAGTCCTCCAGTCAGAACATGTTTTTTGGTTTTGGGTTATTTTGGTTTTTGATGAGGGGTGGGGTTGCAGCAGGTAAGCTAGGAAATAGCCTGATATTAAACCTGCCTTTCTTCCCTCAGGAGATCACAATGCAGAAACCTCCAACTGTGAATGGGCTCCTCTGATCTTTCTTAGGACTATTTCACTATTATTTTGTAGCGTTCAAAAGGATGAAAAATTTGTACCCGTTTAAGGATAGCTAGCTATATGGTCTGCTCATTAAAAATTAAAATTCGCCTTCATTCTGAACACACATGACATAAGAGTAACATTCATTACTGATCTTGGTAGGGAAATGTGTGTGTGTGTGTGTGTTTTCACATCGAAACCTTTCCCATAGAGGTAGTCAACTTTTTGCAGTAACTTAACACAATGGCAAGAACTGAAGACCTTTAGGGGAAATATACTGAGCATTACAAGTCCCTGCTTATGTCAGATGCTATGATACATATATTAATTAACTAGATGTCACATGAAGGAAAGCCTTCCCACCAGGGATTAGGGTTGGGGCTGATCCTTAGAAAGTAGAGACGCAGAGTGTTTCACTGTTTCTTGAAATCAAATCCTTGTTGCCAGGGTTTCATTAAGCTATTTGCATATCTGCTATATTCTGTGGCAAAGAAAGAGACTTTAAGGCTCCTTTAAAGCTCTTGGGTAAATCAAATAATTGAATTCTGCATGCTTCCACGCTTTGGGCAGAAGAGAAACAAACTTTTGTCCTTTCCTTCAGTCCTCCTCTCCACTGGTAAACAGCAGAGGATTCACTCTAAAAAAGTTGCTCAAAAGCAAGCAGGACCCCCAGGGGAGTTCGCGGAAGTTATTGCAAAAAGCGCATTTTCTGAAGTGCACCTAGGATGGTAGGTCTGGCAGGTGGGGGTGGGGGGTGGGGGTGAATGGTCTCAACCAAAGAAAGGCATGCCTGCATTTTGAAGCTACTCACCCTTCTCCGCTGTCCTCCGAGTCGCTGTCTGAGGCCCACTCCTCACCGATGTCCGGCAAGGTGAAGACCAGTGTTTTGGGGCCAGGCTCAGAAGCGATCCAAGAACTGGGCTCTCGCTCTCCAGGGCCAGGCTGGCGAGGGTTCCGTGGGCTCGCGACTATACTGCTGTCCCCCGCGACAGAGGGCAGAGCAGCCCAGACTCCTCCAAGGCCAGGGGGTGGCCGCGCCAGGGGCCCCAGGTGGGCGGGGGAGCTGGTGGCACTGTAGCCGCCGCAGGGGGGAGGCAGGGGCAGAGGCTGGACTTTCGGTGTTCTTGGGCTACCGGGTAATGAAAAGGGGGACCTTAATGCTTCTGCCGTGCGACTAGTGGCAGAGACCCTGGGGTGGGAGGCGGTGAGCAGCGGGTGCAACGACGTGGCGGGGCCACGGGAGGCGGAGGAGGAGTCGGGAGCTAGGGAGGGTAAGAGGGTCAGGGTCCGGGTCGTGCTAAGCGAAGTGCCCCCGCCAGAGCCCGCTGATCCCGAGGTAGCAGCACCTCCCGAGTGGCCGGAGGAGGCGACCAGCGAGGGAACTTCGGGGGACGCCGTTGTCGAAGTCTTGAAGATTTTGGCAAAGAGAGACCCAAGGTCCAACACAGCAACCTTCATGCCTTGACCTTGGAAAAGTCCTCGCTGCTGCCAGAAGCCCAAGAACACCAGGAGCCGTGCTGCTGGGCTCCATCCACGGCCGCCCGGGTGCGAGCGAGGATCTGGGACACGGTGGAGTCCTGGTGGCCTCCGGTTCTCTCTCCACCCCTAGGAAACCTTCTTCGGATGCTCAGCTCCGCACGGTTGGGGTTGGGATAGACCTTCCAGTACAGCCCGACCCACCCACAGGGTGCTGAGCTGCGGGATCCGCAGCGGGAAGTCCGCCACCCTCCGCGAGGAGCAATGCGTTCTGTGTCCCTGTGCCGGGACACCTCTGAGGGTCAGGGGTCCGGGAACCCAAGGAAAGGACCTACTGCTGCTGCTGCCAGCACCACCGAGGGCTTAGGGTGTAGATGGGGCTTTGACTTGCTTGGAGATACCACGACAGGCCCCAGGGACCGCGGTTGCTAAGCTAAACAGAACCTTGCTTAGCTCACTGCTAATTGGGCCCCAGGATTGTAGCTGGGCAGTGTCTACAATGGAAACACTGGCTTCCCTCCTTGGTTCATGCCTTAAAGAAACAGTCTCAAATTTCTCCATCACTCTTAGCTTCACCAGATTCAGCAGGCTCAGGGTGAGAGAGAGGAAGCTGCACACAGCCCTGGGAAACACAATCCTGGTTCCAAAAGGTTCTATAATTCATTCAGTCTGACAAGGCCAAATGTGATATGGTCAGAGTCAGTCAGGTCTCTGATGTGGGGAAGGTGGGTAAAAATATGTATTCAGGGGAGTACACTTGAAATGGCAGTGCCCATTGTCCCCGTCCCTTTGAGGGTCATGTTCATAGTGGGTTACTAAAGATGATACATGGGAACAACAGTGAGGTGCTTTATCCAAGAACTTGGAGATAAAATCGGACATAAAAGAGTTGAATTAGTAAAATCCATAGATAGTGTCTATGTTCAAACACCTATTAGAGTAGGCCAAGAAAGTGTATAGCTTAGATGTTTAAGAACTGTAACTAATCATGCTGACTAAATACAAACTACAGATTCAAAGACAGGAAAGGGGTGAGCTCTTAAAGGGAATAAACTGCATTTTGCTTAATTTGAGGGAAAGTTTGTGAACAGTAGCATGGTGTATGAGTGTGAACATCAACAGCACCACAGGGATAGTACTGAGCAAGGTTTAAAAAAGATATTGACAGGGTTTATCCATTGATTTCAGGGGGTTCTGTTTTTATCTCAGAAGATGTATTTTCTGGCCTGAGGCAAGGAAAAGAGAGTAAATTTTATAGTGAATAAAATAAATTGGCATTCGCAACTATATGCTTTAATCTTTAAAAAGTTATCAAACTGGATTCTGAGCCATGGTACATTTCCATGGCAATGCCAAGCTTTGCGTTCTTTTGTAGACAGCTAGCTACTTCCCGCTTATGACACTGACAACCTGTTGTAATCACTTTTCTGCATCCAACCATCCACAACAAACTCGTTCCAGGCACTTTTCTTCTTCGAGATTGCAAACAGCACTGAGAGGCAAAGAAGCTGTGCTCTTCCCAGAGCATGGGATAATCAGCTTCATGTCATATGCTAGGTGTCAGGGGAGCATCCCAGAAAACAAATACAGTTGGTGGCAACCACCACAGTCACCATTAGCTTGGAGAAAGCAGAGAGTTTGTGTGTGAGAGAGTAATAAGAGATGTAGCAAGGAGGTCAGATCATAATTAGAGTTGGACAAGGCAAGGGTATGCAGTTGTCAGCATGTAAGGCACACGATAAAGAATCAAAATGAGGGAAAGAGAAACACAGACACATCCAAGAGCAGCAACCAAAACCAGAGATAGAAGTGTCAGGGAGCTGTGCCACCTCTGTGACAATGCAAGGCTGGGGTTGACCCACCACCATTTTCCATGTTCTCACAGTTCTTCTGTAGCAACTCACCAAGGAGTGTCCAAAGTGTGGAATGTTCATGGGAGCATTGGACCTTTTCCAAACACCCCTTCAGTATTGAAAAGTAGTTTCTAATTTTTTGTTGTTGTAGTTTATATCACAAGAATTTTGATTCTGATTCATAGGGCAGTTAAATCCTTAGTATTAGGTCACTCTTTATGCAAGTGGAGATCATTTCTGAAGTAGGGTTTTCAGAGTCTAATCTACTAATCTTAGCCTGATTGATTCTGAACATATGTAATGTAATTTGAAGGAACAGACAGCGAGGGAGGGCCATAGTGAGTAAAGCCTGATTAAACTCATTCTATTTCTCTTGGAGGCAGCACTGTTTACTGGGACATCTCAGGATTCTTGATTTTTCAGGCTCAGAAATCTGGCCCCTCCTGAGCACAGCTGATGAGCTTCTTAGGATAAATGAAGCTCCACTAATCTGATTCATAAAACACTGATTCAGAGTGTTGCATCTTCTGCTCTTTCTCTAGTAGGGGAATTCCTGTTAAGACCAATTTAGTTGGAGTAATTTTAGGTGAGCCTGGGATCCATGCAAGGGTGGGCAGAGGGTGTCATATGGTTTACACATGAGGGGCATTAGCCTTAAGAGCCAATCAAAAGGAAGAGCAACTGTACCTGAACAGTGGTACATTAACCACATGTCTGATGGTAGATATTTCTATCCTTTATTACTAATCACTTCCCTTCTGGGGATATGAATACTATTAATAAAGCAACACAAAAAGCTATATGCTGTTCCAGATTCCATCCTTGAAAGTATCCTCTAAGGGATGTTTGCACGTATATGTTATGAGTTGAACTGTGTCCTCCAAAGGGATATGTTAAAGTCCTCACTCCCAATTCATGTAAATGTGACCTTATTTGGAGTCTGTATAGATGCACAGTAGATTTCCCTTATTCGTGGGGAATACATTCCAATACCTCCAGTGAATGTATAAAACTGAGGATAGTACCATATCAATATATGTTTATACATACAGACATACCAATGAAAATTGTAACAGGCACAGAAAGAGAGTAGAAACAATAGTTGGCAATAGACTAGAGTAATTATAACAATATACCATAATAAGTGTAATGTGAATGATTGATTTTTTTGTTTTCTCTCTAGAAATATTTTTTTTATTTAATTGAATTTTTTGGTACTGGGGATTGAACTCAGAGACACTCAACCACTGAGCCACACCCCCAGCCCTATTTTGTATTTTATTTAGAGACAGGGTCTCATTGAGTTGCATAGTGCCTTGCTTTTGCTGAGGCTGGCTTTGAACGTGAGATCCTCCTGCCTGAGCCATCCAAGCTGCTGAAATTACAGGCATATGCCACTGCACCCGGCCTTCTAGAAATATCTTAATTCCTAATTGCACTATACTAATATTTTTGGATTGTGGTCAACACCAGGCAATTGAAATCTAGAAAATAAAGCTGGATTGGGGGTGACTAGTGTAATCAAGTTAAGTTGAGGTTGTTAGGAGGGTCCAGTTTGTGGAAATTTGTTATGACAACCCTAGGAACCAGACTAGTGAATATTTAATTTGGAGGGCACTTTAGAATCATAGTATTTTTCTGATATTTCTATGAAAGTCTTCAGTGGGTGTATTTGCTCTAAAAAGTTGGCTACAAATTAAAATGATAGTCATAATTTTACATGTCAAATCTATAGGGAGAATGACAGAAATTGTAAACAGGACTTGGCAGGGGAGGGGGCGGGGAGTGCCATTGTTGGGTAAGGTAGTGGTTGTAGCTTTCTGAACAGCCAGCCGGTGAAAAGGGACATGAAGGAATGATTGATCCTTTTGTTTGAAGGTCCTTCCTTTGAAAACGACCTACAATTGCAAACATGCTAAATGATTCTTAGCAAGAGGCTAGGTCTTTCATGACCATTGTTCATCCATCAACAGTCTTTCAGCCAGACATTAGATGCTCCCGGGTTTCTCCATTAATTACCAGAACATGCCATTCTCTTAGTGGTGAGTCTTAAGTGATGTGACATAATGGTCTGGCTCAAGTCATTATTTCAAGAATAAGAAAATGAACCAAAATACAATAAATCATTGTGTCTATCTATAACAGTGTTTATTTTAGACAATTAGAAATGTCAAAGTAATGTTTTATGTGATAAAATTCTTCTGCTTATCTTGGTTAGTTAATAATTTGATTATTTTTCTGATGTGCATGACAATGCTTCACTATATGATTGAGAAAGTATTAGGAGCTATGACCACACTGCTATGAAGAAATGTTGTGTTTTGGAAACATGAAAGTTAAAACAGATAACCAGAATAACTAATTGAATTTTTATGAAGTGAAATTGCCTTACTTAGTATGACACTAAGACCAGAAACTTTAAAGAAAAAATACTGTCAAATTTGATGATAAAACTTTTAAAATTTCTGAACAATAAGAGATATTTTTTGATTTTATAAATATTTACTAAGCACCACAGAGAGGCATCACAGTATGATAGACTCTGGGGCTAGAATGTCTAAGTTCATATTCTGTCTCTGCCATTTACCAACAATAAAGCTTCTCTGTTGTGACACATGACTAAACTCGTCAGGGTCACTCCAGGTTAGCCCTGCTGGCTCGAAATAATCACACAGAGACAGAGAAATGCCTTTTTCTTTGGGTTCTGTGACAGCTCCTCTGACCCAGCTCCCACAAAAGAGGCAAGGCAGATAAGAAAGAGAGAGGAGCGCATGATGAACCCTTTTATTGGGGAGAAGCCATTCAAAGGAGGCAAGGGGTCAGGTTTCAGGGCATTGAATCTAGCTTCCTGAAGTCTTGTTGTCATCAGGTTTACTGACATCTAGGAAGGCCACGCCCATCTCATGTGCTGTGTGGAGATCATAGGCAGAATGAGCAAAAAGATCTTTACGTTGATATAAAATCAACACCCATAAATCAAAGGCATTTCTGTACATCAGTGACAAATCCACTGAAAGTGAAACTAGAAAAACCACCCCATCTACAATAGCCTAAAAAAATTAATAAATAAAATAAAATACTTGGGAATAAATTTAACAAAAGAGGTGAAAGACCTCTACAATGAAAACTACGACATGCTAAAGAAATATTAAAGAAGACCTTAGAATATGGAGAGATCTAGAGATCTTCTTGGATAGACAGAATTAATTGTCAAAATGACCTTACTACCAAAAGCACTATACAGATTCAATGCAATCCCAATCCAAATCCCAATGGCATTCCTTATAGAAATAGAAAAAGCAATTATGAAACTCATCTGGAAAAATAAGAGACCCAGAATAGCCAAAGCAATCCTTAGCAAGAAGAGTGAAGCTGGTGGCATCACTATTTCAGACCTAAAACTATACTACGGGCAATAGTAACATAAACAGCATGGTATTGGCACCAAAATAGACCTGTAGACCAATGGTACAGAATAGA